ATACAGTCATCATATTCTTAATAAAGGATCCTGCTGTGATATGAACTTTTATTAAGAACATTATTTATTATTTATTGGTTCTCAAAAATTTACTGCGATCATTAATAAGTTTGGTAGGAGTTGTTCTAACCTTACGGCGATGGGGTTCCGAAATTCTTTCAGTGTGAAAAATATTACTAAAGGGAGCTGAATCCTTATTAAGACGCGATAGCGCTTTTGCTTTGCGAATAATACTTTCCTAATATTTAAAGAATTATTAAATACCCATCAACAATATATACCAAAAATCCTGTTTCCTCGCGGAAAAGTAATTGGGTTAGCAAGAGCTGGATCAAAATCTGACCCAATGAATTATAACCATTAATAAATTCGTCCAGCATGGTATCCAAAATTCTGGTTCAGTTAGTTCGACTTCATTAAGAATCTCTTTCGTCCCTACTATTAGCTTATCTGTCCCCCTCCGCTATATCAGAAGCTACCGAATCATTCGAATCAGTAGAAGACAAATCTAGCTGTTCTAAACATTCGCGGACTTCGTTAAGCACTTCTTCAACTTCTATAGAACGGCCAGTATTTACCGTATTAATCTAATGAAGAATTCAACATTAGCTCAAAAAAACGATTTATACAATATCATTCCAAACAATTTCTAATTCAACCTACACAGTTGTCAACTATTTCGGCAATATTTTTTCGGACGATTTCCTGATTCTGTCGTTTTTCGTATTCTTCGCGCTAAATTGGGTGTTTTAATTAACCGGTGGTTCGATCCTTCGTAAAAATTTTTAAATCCTACTCACCCGCCTTTTTTCTACTTGATATGCTTCACTGAAAATTTGTTGGTGTTTCTCCTATAAATAGGTAATAAATATAATAAGAGATTGGAGTGTTTCTGACGTGTATATCATATCGTAAAATATTAAAAATCAGAAACGTCATATATCAATAGTATTATATTTTTAAAGTAAGTTAGCACGCTGACGACCGATGACGAGGTACACGAAGGCATTGCCTGTATCGGACCTAGCAAAATGCCCGGACGAGGCATGTTTGAGATTGTAAAATTGTGATCAACAATAAATAATAAATAATGTTCTTAATAAAAGTTCATATCACAGCAGGATCCTTTATTAAGAATATGATGACTGTAT